TCGTGTCGTCGTCGCCGTCGTCGCCGTCGTCGCCGTCGTCGTCGTCGTCGTCGTCGTCGCATGCGCCTGCCTGGAGGAAGGGACGGGGGATTCGAACCCCGTCCCCTCCTTGAATTAGGTCGGGCATGTCCTCCTACAGGCGGATTTTAGGCGGAAAAAACAAGCGACAAATTCATTTTTGTTTTTGAGAAAAAAAAGGCCCCAGACTATCTTTGTCTTATTTTTGAATGTTCACCCTGTAGAGGGACGGGCCCGACTCCCCCTTGAACCGTGGTCCTCGTCGACGTTCCCCGCCGCCGCCGACAGCCGCCGCCGTCGCCAGCGCCGGCACGAGAGGGGGAGGGGGGCCGCCGCAGTGGCCGGCGCAGGCCCCCCCCCTGAACCGGAGGGGGGAGAGGGGGAGGGGCCAGTTATAGACCCCCCAATCCAAGCGCCCACAGAAGGAGCTGTCTTGTACATATATACGCACATGTTGATATATATATATATATATATATATATATATATATATATGTATAGATAGATAGATAGATAGATAGATAGATAGGTAGATAGATAGATAGATCGATATATAAACACATATATATATATATATATCTATCGATAGATCGATATATATATATAGATGAATATATATATATATATAGATAAACAAATAAATAAATGTATATATAGATGTATTGATACAACGATAGAGCACTTTCACAAACTTATTTCCCTATACGACCACCCTTCGGGTGATAAGGAGGTTCGGAGGGGAAGGAACCAACGTCTCACTCGATCGGTCTCACTATCGATCTCACTATCGATCTCAGTATCGGTCTCGCTCGATCGATCTCCCTCGATCGATCTCACAATCGATCTCACTCGATCTATCTCACAATTGATCTGACTATCGATCTCACAATCGATCTCACAATCGCTATCACATTCGGTCTCACGATCGATCTCACTATCGATATCACAACCGCTCCCACAATCAACGTCATCATCATCATCAACAACAACATCAACATCATCATCACCAACATCATCATAATCGGGACACAGTCCTCACCATCAACACCAACATCATCATCATCATCACGGTCATCAACATCATCGGGACACCACCATCATCATCACCATCACCACAATCGTCATCATCATCATCATCATCAACATCAGCATCAACATCATCACCATCGGGACACAGTCATCGTCATCATCATCATCAGCAGCATCATCATCGGGACACCATCATGATCACCATCGTTATCATCATCAGCATGATCATCTGGGCACCATCATCATCATCATCTCATCCTCATCATCGACATCATCATCATCAGCATCATCAACATCGTCATCATCAGCATCATCATCATCGTCATCATCGGGGCACCATCATGATCATTACCAACATCAGCATCAACATCATCATCATCATCACCATCGGGACGCCATCATCATCAACATCATCATCATCATCATCACCATTATAATAATCATCATCATCATCGGGACGCCATAATCATCATCAACCTCATCATCATCAACATCATCATCATTGGGACACAATCATATTCAGCATCATCAACATCAACATCATCATACTCATCATCATCGGGACACCATCATCGTCATCATCATGGTCATCAACATAATCATCATGATCATCATCATCCTCATCATCGGGACACCATCAGCATCATCATCATCATCGTCATCATCATCATCATCGACATCATCATCATCATCATCATCACCATCATCGGGACACCATCATCATCATCATCATGTCATCAACATCATCATCGTCCTCTTCATCACCATCATCATCAGCATCACCATCATCATCGTCATCATCATCAGCAGCATCATCATCATCAGCATCACGATCATCATCATTATCATCATCATCATCATCATCATCATCTCATCATCTCATCATCATCATCATCATCATCAGCATCAGCATCAGCATCAGCATCAACATCATCATATCATCATCATCATCATCATCATCATCATCATCATCATCATCATCATCATCATCATCATCATCATCATCATCATCACCGCGGGACACCGCGGGACACCGTCGGGACACCGCGGGACACCGCGGGGCACCGCGGGACACCGCGGGACACCGGCGGGACACCGCGGGCCACCGGCCGCCCGGAAGGGAGTCATTTGGTCCAGCCGCGCCTCAGCCACACGGGACTTTCGCGGGACACCGGCGGGACACCGCGGGCCACCAGCCGCCCGGAAGGGAATCATTTGGTCCGGCCGCGCCTCAGCCACAGGAGACTTTTTCTCGCCCGCCCACGCAGCTTCGCCTCGCCCGCACGCACGGCACGCACGAACACGAAACCGAAATCGATTTCCCGGTAGGGGGGCTCTCCGTTCCACTTCGATCTCACCCCCTCACCTCCGATATATATATATAATATATATATATATATATATATATTATATATATATATATATTATATGCATGCTGGAACCATCGCGCGCGCTTCGCGCGCGCTCAAGTTCTAGCTAGGGACATGACCATCGTCATCATTGTCAGCCTCACCCCCGTCATCTTCATCGTCATCGTCATGGTTACCTGCACCATCACCATCACAACAATCCTCCTCCTCCTCCTCCTCCTGCTCCTCCTCCTCCTCCTCCTCCTCCTTGTTATCCTCCTCCTCTCTTTTCTCAGCGCACCCAATAAACGGGACCCTACCAGAACGCGTGCTGGGAGCCTTTTTGGAAGCATTGTGGCAGTCTCAGGAGCCTCTCCGGGCCTTCCTTTTGAGTCCTTTGGGGCCTTTGTTAGCCCGTCTGAGGGCCCGTTTCGGCCGTTCCGAGTCCCTCTTGGCTCATCGTGGGGAGCTCAGCCTGTCTTGGGGCCCTCCTGGGGCCCTCTCCGACCATGTAGGGGTCCTCTGGTGGCCCCCCTCGGGCTGCCTGGGGGCTCTCTTGGGCCGTCTTGAAGCTCTCTTCAGGCCGTCTGGGGGCACTCTTGGGAGCCTCTGGGGCGGTCTGGGGCACATTTTGGTAACCTCTGGGGCCGTCGCGGCCGCTGGTAGGGCTGAAAATCAAATATCCTAGAAATAAGCGCTTTTCCGTAGGACATTTCTGATTTTTGCAATTGGAGGGCCTTCTGGGGGGGTCAATTTGGGCCTTTTGTGGCCCGTGTGGGAGCCCATTTCGGCTGTCCCAAGCCCCCCTTGGCATGCCATGGGTAGCTGAACCATCTTGGGGCCCTCATGGAGCCCTCTCCGACCATGTAGGGGTCCTCCGGTGGCTCCCTCGGGCCCCCTGGGGACTCTCTCTGGCTGTTTGGGAGCTCTCTTGTGCTGCTCGACGATCTCTTGAGGCTGTCTTGGGGTCCTCTTGGGGGCCTCGTGGACCGTGCGGCGCCGATTTGGGGAGCCTTTGGGGCCGACGTGGCCGCCGATGGGACATAAGAAGCGAATCTCATAGAAATATATGTAGTTATTTCACGAGGAATGCTGTTTTTTCTGCCCAGGAGCCTTCTCAGCGGCCTCCTGGGCCGTCTTCAGGAAGACCTGGTCGGCCTTTTTTTGGACCCTCTGGAAGCCCAGTTCGGCGGCTCCGGGTCCCTCTTCGGCCGCCATGTGGACTTGAGCCCGTCTTGGGGCCCTCTGGGGGCCCTCTCTGACCATGTATGGATCCTCCGGTGGCCCCCTCGGGGTTCCTGGGTACTCTTGGGCCGTGTTGGGGCTCTCCTGTACCGCTTGAAACTCTCTTCAGGCCGTCTGGGGTCACTCTTGGGAGCCTCTGGGGCCGTCTGGGGCACATTTTGATAACCTCTGGGGCTGTCGCGGCCGCTGGTAGGACTGAAGAGCAAATATCCAAGAAATCAACGTTATCCCATCGGAAATTATTGATTTTTGCCCTTGGAGGGCCTTCTCGGCGGCCTCTTGGACCGTCTTGAATGCCTTTATGGCCGTCTAGGAGCAGTCTAAGGCTGTTTTCGAGCGCTCGTGACCCGTCCAAAAGCCATCTCAGTGCGCTCTTCAGCCAACTTTCAGACAACCTGAGACGCTTTTGGGGCGCCTCTTGGGCCAGCTTGGGAGCCTCTGGGGGGGGTCGGGGGCCCCTTCTGAACCCTCTTGGAGCCCCCCTGGCCCCCCTGGCCCCCCTGGCCGCCCCATGCGAACCTGAGGCCGCAGCTCTGGGCCCTCCCCCGGCCTACTCCGACAGATGTAAGTATGTAAGTATGTAAGTTTTTTTTTTCAACCAGCGCGATGATATGACATGTGCGTGACGTGGCGTGTCATCTCTGCAGATTTCCACCGTGCCCTCCAGGGGCCTCTTTCCCGGCCATTGGCTATCGGCACCAGCACGCGAGCGGCGGCCAACGCAGAAAACTGCGGACCTGAAACTTCGAACTGCCGCCGCCTCCACGGATAGAAAAAACCAAAAGGCGACAAGCACGACCTAAACAGTCGTGTGCGTACGGTGATCCGCTTCCCCTCATGGGGGCCATAGCCGCTCCCATCGATGAGCCAGGGCCGGCCGAGTAAACGTCACCACATTCAGGGGGGAGGAAGAGGAAGAGGAAGAGGAGGAGGAAGAGGAGGAGGAGAAGAGGCGAGAGAACCTGACAAAGGCCAGGAGCAGCGCGCAAGCCAACCTGCCATAGGCGAGCCGTCGCGCGCGTCCGGGGACCGGGATAACCGGCAGAAGTGCAGATTTCTTTGCATCGGAGGTCATCGCCCGACTGCCTGTCAGTCTGGGCTCCCGCATGACCAGGGCAGTGCAAGCGTGGAGAAAAAGGCAACACGGAACCGACACCGAGGAGGAGGAGGAGGAGGAGGAGGAAGAGAAGGGAGAACCACAGATATTGAACTGGGAGCCTGAAGGGCCACGCTCCCAAGCGAAGTGGACATAGCCACGACGCGAGACCAAGAGGTAACGATAGTTATGTCAGCGGCCAAGCAACGAACAACATGCAGAGGGGAGTGGGAGGAGGAAGAAGCCGGAGAGGCACGATGCGCCTAGGCGCCTGGCCGCCTGCGCCGAGACCTGGCGAGCAGCCCGTTGAGAGGCTCTCGGGCGCAAGCCTCGCGCACGGCGGCCTTGAAAAGATGCCCTGCGTCGAACTGAAATACGGCTTTGTGCCGCACGGCGAGGTGTGCCCGGTAAAGGGCATAGATACAAACAGCTCCCAACAAGCGCATCTCGTCGCTTGTACGCGGCACGGGCGCGGCCTCCAGCCCCATCGGCGCGTGCAAACCGAGGAAACTTGCCAGGCGCGCCTGCGCAGGCGGTGGCTCGAGGGCACACGCCTCCTCGCACCAGCGATGGTACAGGCCACAATGTGCGTAATGCCGAATGCAATCGAAACCGCCCCCGCAGCCGAACGCACAATGAGACCGTTGCTGAAAACGCGCCGTTGTGAGCCAGCCATTGCAAGCTGTGCGCAAGGCCGCTGCCATGACGCATGGCGGGGCACTCTGACCGAGAAGGGCAACGTACGCGGAGAAGCGCGGCACCCGGCGGCCCGGCGCAAGGTCAATGCTCCAATGGTCAAGCCGCCTCCGAAGAAATGCCTCTACCTTGGTCGGCGGACGCGCTGCCAGCAAAAATTGGCATCGGCTGGCTTGCCACCCTGCCTTGAGGGAGGGCCGGTCCTCAGTCGGGAACTCGTGCGTGAGCCGTAGGCCACGTCGAAACTCCTCCCCGTCGATGCGGTCTGCCGAAGCTTCCAAGACAAATAATGTGTTGCTCGCCAGCCACGCCTCGACAGCCTCAGAATAGAATTGACGCCCATCGCTCTGGAGAAGCTGGCGGAGTCGGCGGGCTCTCGCTTGCACCTGCAGCCCGCCCTGCGTCAACGCCTCGAGGTGGCATGCACGAGCTTGAGCCGCAATCGTCGCACAGCGTATGTCCATCAACTCGCGCGGAAATCCCATGCGGCGGAGCTGCGTCATGAGATCTGGGATCGTCCATGCACGAGGGCCCGGAAAGAGCTTGGCGCAGACCTTCCGCTCCACCTCATCGAAGCGGGCAGGTAACGGCCGAAGTTGCGCCACAAACATGACCACCGAGGCCACGAACACGCGGTAGGCCGCACAAGTGCGATAAAGACCTGGGCCGATCTTGCCCCAGGTGGCCGCGCGATCCAGCATCTAGTCCAAGGGGGCCTTCCACGAGTCCTCCTTAGCACCCGGGCCCAAGACGAAGCCGAGGTATTTAGCCTTGTCCCGGATGGCCATTGCGCCCCATGCCGGCGCTCGCCTGGAGATTTCTGCCCGGAGGTCCATCCCGTCGTAGCCGAAAAGGGGCGCGATCACAGTCTTCTGGAAATTGAGCTTCAATCCAGAAATCCGAGCATACTCCGCGAAGATGCCGTGCAACGTCGGCAACTTCTCGAGGGCGCGGGCGACGATGATGACCAAGTCGTCCGCGTACGCCCTCTCCAGCGCCCCTGGGCCGAGCCGGCGAAGGCGGCAGAGGAGCAAGTCGGACGCGACGGCGAAAAGGAGCGGCGATAAAGGGCACCCCTGGCGGACACCTCGCGCAAGCCCGAAGCCCTGGCACCTCGAGCCCTGCAGTGCGATGTCGCAGTAATTGTCCTGATAAAGGGCCGCGGCAAATCGCAGAAGCCAATCGGGCCAACCAAAGTGGCGAAGAAGCCGTAGAAGGAATTCGTGCTCGATGGATGGGAACGCGGCCTCAAAATCGAAGAACGCAGCCATCGACCCGTGGGCGCCCACGTAATGCTCGGCCATGCCCTCCTCCACGTCCACGAGGTTAGAGAGCATGGACCTCCCGGGGAGGAACCCCCGCTGGGAGGAGGAAATCCTCGCGGCCACCGCGTCCTCCACTACCATGCGCACTGCGTTGGCCAAGAGTCTGTTGTCTGTATTGGTCACGCTCAGGGGCCTGACCTTGTCCACCGCGTGGCCCATGTCAGCCGATCCCAATCTCTCGGGCGGGCCCTTCGGGATGAAGAATAACAGACTGTGGTTGAAGTCCTCCGCGAATTCGTGGAGCCGTCGCAAACCGTCCTCGCTGCAGATGTCGCCGAAGACCTCGTGCAGGACCTCCACGGCCAACGACTCAATGCGCCTCCAGGCCAAGAAAGAAAGTCCGTCCGGCCCTGGAGAGGAGCAGGACGATCTGCGGATGGCCTCTCGGATGTGCTTTTTCTTCAGGCGGAAACTGCGGGGAGGGAACGGCCCGAGCTGATCCAGCGGGCGGTGGTCGGAATCCTGGTCGAGCCACTCAGCCAGCATGTCATCGTCGACCCCACGGCGCTGAAATACTTTCCCCCAATGCGTGCGCAGAGTCGCTGCCATCTCCTCCGGCGTCGTCCTTGCCTCGCCGTGCTCGTCGAGGACGCAGTCCACCGCCGAGACACGTCCTGGCCGGAGTCGAAAGATGAGCCTGTTATTCTTGGCACGCGCTTTGGCTGCTGTAAAAGCGTCGGTACCAGTGAGGTCGGCATGGGACTTGCCCAACTCATCCAGCGCGTGGTCGCGCGCCAACTCCATGGCGTGATCCCTCAGCCGCTGGAGCTTGGCCGAAACGTTGCCCTCGAACGCATAGGGATTGTCAACCAGATCCCGGATCTTGGGGTAGCGGAGGAGGCACGAAGAGACATCGGTCGCGAAGCCGCGCTCGAACGCCCGGATGAAGCAGAGGGCGACGCCGAGGCGGTCCTCCAATGTCATCGCCTCCGGGACGCCCGCCCACTCCCCTTCCAAGTTGAGCCCCGCCTGCCGCAAAGCCGCCTTCAGGTGACCAAGCTTCTGCACGCCCCAATCCTCCGGGTGGTCGCGCAGGCGCTGGCCGAACTCCAAGCGCACTCGCCGCTCGAAGTCCTCATGGCGAATCGCGCGGTCCGGAATGGGCCGCAGGTGCATAGGGAGCCGTTGCGGGGCCCGCCTGGAGAAAAGCACCGCACGGTGCGCAGAAAGGTCTTCCCGCCAGGGGAGTGCGCAGCACGTCATGTGCCGGTCGAGCTGCTCCACCGCGTGCTGGTTCAGGTAGATCCTGTCAGTGCGTGACCGGGCGCGGGCAGATGCATGAGTGGAAGCTCCTTGAACCAT